ATAATTAAATAAAAATATATTATAATAAAAATAGAAAATGAACTATTTAAAAAAAAGGTCAAAATACTAATTTGGTGCCTTAACTTTTAGATTTGTATTAAAATTGTATCTTAATTTTATAAAATATCAAAATTATCCTTAAACTTTAATTTTCAATACTAAAATAGTTTTCAAACTTTGAAAATAATACTAATTTAATCCTTAAATTTTAAAGATAAATACTAATTTAGTTCTTAAACTTTAATTACATATCAATTTGATTTATAAATAAAAATATATTATAATAACAAAATTTGACTATTTGATTTTGCATGTTATTAATATTTAAAAAAAAACTGATTTTATAATAAAATAATAAGTTATACAACACTTTTGTTAATGAAATGACTTTTTTAGTATTCAAAATTAAAATTTACAGATAATTTTGATATTTTTTAAAGTTAAAAGAAAATTTAATATAAATTTAAAGGTTGAATGGCCAAGTTAATATTAAAAAGAAAGAAAGAAAAAGAATTGCATTCTTTACTCGCTTTCTTCGCAAGAAGACAAATCATTTGAATGTGCGGTACAGAGGGGATGGAGGCTTTACAGAGTTACGGGCTGCCAATCCGTTGAAATACTGCACATTTTAACTGAAAATGTGTGCTCTCAAATTGGTATGGCCCAACACACCGGTAAGCCAAGTTAAACGTTTCCCCTCTGTGTTCACCTCCTTTGTTGTCCTTTGTGCCCATGGAATCAAACTTCACTTTTCAAAATCAACACTGCATGTGCAAACCTTCACTTTTGTCATTCCAATTCTACTCTTGAATAGGGGAGGCTCTTGAATAGGGGAGGCTTCGTTTAATAATTATCACTTAACAAACATATTAGTCTAAAAATGAATTTTTTATTTTGTAATTTAAATTATATTAAATTATAAAATTAGACCCCAATTTAAGAGAGGAAAGTCCAATATCATGAAACCTTTTTTAATTTAAAAATTACAGTTTTATAATCTGGTACAATTTAAATTATAATATAATTTTTTTTGTTAAAAAATGATCAATAGGTAGGAAAAAAGATGCATGCTCTTTAGAAATTATATTCTTTTGTCTAGGTTTATAATTGATATTTCCTGAGAAATTATATTATTGTCTCTTCTTTAAAAATCCTAACTAACTCATTCGAACTTTTAATGATTTATTTCCACCTTACATCCATACGCGTTACATCCATATTAAAGGGTGTCCTTCATGGTTTATATTCTTGGCATGATCTAACTTAAATTTAATTTTTCAGAAGAGAGAGAACGAGAGAGAAGACGCCAAAATTTTAAGCTTATAAATTAAATTACAAAGGGATGACATGTAATTGATAGACGATAAATAATGGATCTATGAATATACCTTTTTTTTGTTTTAGGAGTAATTAATTAGTCTTCCATATTGCTCCTACCTTCGGTATACTAGACTTAATTCACACCTTGGATTAAAAAAAACAAAAAATGGGAAAGGAAAGAAAAGAAAACATTCCTCTTTAGTTATTAAATTGCATTTGATTCACGGCATTCAAAAGAATCAAATTTAAGTAAAAGTTAGCCATCCATACGGATAGTAAAGTTATCAACTATCCAAATGGTCTCATAATATTTTTTTACTAAAATAAAAGATTTTGACTTTAGATTATAAGCATGCAAGTAAGTAGATTTTTTTTTTTTTTTTAATCTTTCAGTATCCGGTAACCACATTGAGTTTCAATTAATCTGAAAACGAATTTGAGTTTTGATTAATCCGAAAACGAACCGCATCGGACCCTATTGGGGGAAGCTTTCCCAGCGTCTGTTTCTTCATTCATAATACTCAAACTTGAGATCTTATTTAAAAGAAACTGAACTCCTTTCACTCGGACCAACAGATCGTTAGTAGAATCAAAGTAGTTTGGCATTTTGAAATGATACAAAAGGATGGTTACAAGGTAGGATGTCATTCAATATATATGTACTTTGAAATATCAACCTAGCTTAGGGATTGGGAGGGAAATATACTTAAAATTGGGATTGACTTGGTTTAAATGTTGAGCATAATTAACGAGAATGTGGTACAAATGTTGTGCTAACATGTCACTATTTTCACTTAATGCTCGCGAAAGGAAAAGTATGAGAAACGCGAGATCTTTTTCCGATCTCTTTGCAAAAGACAAATCTATGTATATCAACGATCTTTATTATTTT